AATACATTTCCCAGGAGTGTTAGGGCTAGGGAGACAGAAGGAAGGGAAGTGGTTTAGAATTTCTAACCAAAAGTATCATTTGCTGGTGGCTCAGGCCTATAATTTCTGACTGAGACCAAGGCAGGTGGCCTGCAAGTTCAAGACCATCCTGGGCTACAGATTAAATTCAAGGCCACCTTAGGCTTAATGAGACTGTCCTGTTGCAGAAAGTAAAAAGAGGCTTGAGTGAAATAATTCAGTGGTGATGGAATGCTTGCCTAATGTGCATGTGCTGAGTTCAGTTTCCAGTATGGGGGGAAAACAGAATTTATGTTAAGGCAGCAATTTGAAGTTGTATGGCACAGAACCGGAGAGATGGCTCAGCAGGTAAGAGCACTGGTTCCTAGAAGCCACGTGGTCACTAACAACCATCCAAACTCCAGGGGATCCAACGCCCTCTTCTGGCCTCTGTGGGCATTGCACAACACAGGTGCACTTACATACATGCAGGCAAAACTCATAAAAGAAAAAACTTTTTAAGATTTTTGAAGTTTTGTGCCATAAAAGAGTAGATCCAAATAGTATAGATGCAGCACAGATTGTTTTGGAAAGATGTCAGGACCTGAATTACTTTATCAATAGGTTGAAACTGTTACTGAACTTTAAGGTTTTAAAATCCCTTTTACAATGTTCAAGTGACTATTTTATAGCTATTGCTTAATGTTATTTAAAATATTCTTCACATATCCATTATAATTTTGATTTCTTAAAATATTCTTCACATATTGATTAAAATGTTGGTTTCTTTTCTATTAAAAACATTTCATTTAAGCTTCTGCAAGTTGTTTGTTACTCATTTAGCAAAAACATTCAGCTTAGCAGTATTTAATGCTTCTATATTGCCTATTAGAAGTAATGGCATGTGCATTATTAAGCCATTCATAATTGTTAACTATTCCTTTATCATGTGCCCATGTGGTGGGTCTTTTAAATTTTAAATCTTTAATTCATTTCACACCTTCAGTTTTTACTCCATTTTCCTTTTTTCATTCTACAACTTGACATTTAACATCAAACCTCTGGTATCTATTACCAGCTCTCAGGAGTAGCCAGTCAGCTGTCTTTTGTTATTTTGTAACTGAGTAAGAAGGCACTCATACAATAGGGCAGGAAGTATAAAGAATCTTGTTTTCAACAATGTTATAATTTGACCCAGTAATTTGAAGTAATTAAAAGTAATTTGAAGTAATTAATTTGAAGTTCATCTCCAACTTGTAGAATATTTTCAGTTCCTCATTGCTGGAAACTTTGTCATTTGATTCTGCTGTAGTGCTGTGCCTTTTGGCTTCTGCTTCTCTCCTTGAACCATGGCCTAGTTTGTTTGGGTTTAGATATATTAATTAATTAATTTGTTTTGTGTGTATGAGTGCTTTGCCCTCATGTACATAAGTGCACGCGTGTCATGCAATGCCCATGGAGGCCAGAAGAAGATCTCTGATTCCCTGGAACTGGAGTTAAGGATGGGTGTTAGTTAGCTACCATGTAGTGCTGGGAGCCAAACCCAGGTCCTCTGGAAGAGCAGCCAATGACTGTACCATCTCTCCAGCCCTGGCCTAGTTCTTTTTTCTAATGCTTTGGGCCAATACATCAAAAGCAAATGAACTTTGAGTGAGAGTCCAAACTCTTATACTTTGTATAAGTACAAATCAGAATTGTTTCTTTTTTTTTTTTTTTTTTTTTTTTTCCAAGTTCAGGGCTTCCTTCTGAAGGTTCAGACTGCAAAAGGTAATTTTCTGGTTCAGCAAGATGAATATTTGATAGTATGGAACGTAGACTAAAGCATCTTCTGTGTTCTCAGAGTTGATTGATGCTTTGATTTATAATCGTCAGTGCTGAGATTATTGCTTCACATAAATACATAGTATAAAATGACAAAAGTGTATTAGATCCACTTCAGAAATTATTAGAAATTCCCAAACCAAAATTCATTTAGTGATGGTTTTTTTTTTTTTGATGAAACTCAAATTAGTAACTCAGATAGCAGTTGTTAAAATGAAAAGTCCAAGCACAACACAATTCAAATTGCCCCCCACAATACTAATTTAGGGGGCTGGAGAGATGGCTCAGTTGTTAAGAGCACTGGCTGCTCTTGCAGAGGACCAGGGTTTAGTTGCCAGCACCCACATGCTGGCTAACAGTGGTCTGTGATTCTGGTTCCAGAATATCCAATACCATCTTCTGGCCTCTGTGGGCATTGCACACACGGCTCACTCACATACATGCAAGCAAAGCACTCATACGTGTAAACAATTCTTCAAAGACAAACTAATTTGATAAATGCAGAGGAGTAACTATAGAAAAATTTAAAGTCCTTGTTCTCTATAATTAAACCATTATGTTTCTATAAGAGCAGAAAACTGTATATGCAGCGAATACAGTGCAACTAATAACATGTATGAGTTGTCAAATCTTAGCTGAGGTGTTTCTGGAAGCTTGCATTGGCATATAAAGTGTATGTAGTGTGTTCAAAACCAAGATTGCAGTGATGTCACTTGGTATGACGTGACTAGTTCTGCCAGAGACACCTTGGATTCATTACATTTGATTTTAATTCAGGTTATTGTATAGTCAGAAACCTTTAACTATTGTCAATTTTTTGTGGCCCCCCACATTCAGTTCCCCTTTAGGGGTCACAATCCACAGTTTAAGAAACTGGGCCCAAAATAACCAGGTGAAGAAAGTGGAAAGAGGGGGAATGGCATTTAAAGGTGGGAAGGAGTTGGACCAGCTGCAGCACAGTGAAGGAGGGATAAGTTCCACAGGAAGTTCTAGGTTCTGTTGGGAATCAGATTTTTAGTACTTTCCACTTATGAGCAATGGAAAGTCATTTTTGAGAAGAGATGTGAGATAAAATACATTTTGTAAAGATTGTTCTGATTAACATGAGATTGGAACATCAGTGTTAAAAAGGAGAACAGGAAAGTTGTTTTAGTTTTAGAGGGATGAAATTCCCTTGGTAGAGAAGTGCACGGCACAGGAAGGAGAAGTGAATGGTGTTCAGGTAGACTAGGGCTTTGAGTGCTGCAGCAGTGCAGCTGCATTGCCTTCTGTGTCCCCACAGTGATGCTGGCCTCACATGTGCTGCTGTTCTTTTCACCCTCTCCTACTTCGTCTGGCAGCAGAACTCCCATTTATCTTTCAAAATCCAGCACCGTTCAGTCACTGTGACACATTGTTGGTTGGTTTATTCTTTACTAATTTTTTTTTTTACTTTTATTTGTTTTATTATAAATAACAGGAGCAGAAGTTAAGAAGAAAGTGAATCGTTATGAAATATACCCACCTGAAGGAAGTGTCCTAAGGGTTTTCAAATCTTAAACCTATTGGTCCTTATTGTGTGTGTGAGTACCATGGGGTTCTCACACCAGGAATGTTACCCTCCAGAGGACCTGTGTTATACTACCACTGCTATATTGAAAAAGTTACCTGGTCTTGATGAGGTTTCTAAATACTATATTCAATGCACCTTTCTTCACTCATCTGCCTTTAAAAGACTTTACCGAATATTCGGCATATATTTTTGAAGAAATAAAATATTTGAATTTAAAAACTACTCTAAGCCGGGCATGGTGGCGCACGCCTTTAATCCCAGCACTTGGGAAGCAGAGGCAGGTAGATCTCTGCGTTCAAGGCCTCGAGGCCAGACTTGTCCACATAGTGAGTTCCAGAATAGCTGGGGCTACAGGGAGATCCTGTCTCAAAAAGACCAAAAATAAAAAATAAAAAACAAAATACTAATACTATCCATGTGTCTCTGTTTGCACACTTTCCCTCCACTATTATTCTTTATATGATATAAACTTGGGCCTTACATGAGGAGAAGATAATTTTTTATTTTGTGGTCATCTAAAATAATACTCTTCAGGCCAACAAGATGGTTCAACAGCTAAGGATGCTTGCTGCCAAGCCTTTTAGCCTGAGTTGAATACCAGGAACCCTCATGGTGAAAGAAGAAAAGGGAATGCTGTCCCCTGATCGCCACACACACCTGCTGAGCCATCTTGCTGAACTAACCGTAACAAATCAAAATAAGTAAACTAAAATGGATTTATATACGCTTGACTTTTTTTTTTTTTTTTTTTTTTTTTTTTTTTTTTTTTTTTGTCTTTTTGAGGAAGGGTTTCCCGGTAGCCTCAGCTGTCTTGGAACTCACTATGTAGACCAGGCTGGCCTCAACTCACAGAGATCCTCCTGCCTCTGCCTGAGTGCTGGGATTAAAGGCATGTGCCACCACACCCAGCTACGTTTGACTTTTATCCCAGCATGTGAATTCCATTCCTACTGAAAAACAGTATGGCAGAAAGAAAAAATTGGGGTAAAAACAGCTATTATATGAAATAGTATAAACAAAGTTTAAACATGAGAATTACAAATACACATCGATAGGCAGCAAGAAAATTGAATTTTTTTATGTTTTATTTAGTGTGCATGTTACATGTGTATGATGTATACACACATGTGCAGGTGCCTGTGCACTTGTGTAGAAGTGAGGGGATGATGTCAGATGCCCTGCTCTATTGCTCTCTACTTTTATCACCTTGACAGTTTAGTCTCACTGAACCTGGAGCTTGACTGGCAGCCAGCAAGTCCCAGCAGTCAACTGTCTCTGCATCCCCACCCCATCCCCACACTGATAGGGTTACAGGCACTTGTGCTGTTGTGTCTGGCTTTTTTTAAATCTGTGTTGGGGATTCGAACTCAGGTCTTCATGCTTGCATGGCAAGCACTCCTACCCCCTGAGCTGGCTCCCTAGCCCCTGGAAATTACAGTTTGATTTGGAAGAATGATTTCTACCTTACTTCGTACTTTATTCCTCCTCCATTTAAAAATATTATCAGTGTTCAAGGTTATGTTTGTATAAATGTGGTTTTTCTATCCTAACAGCATTTATTTTTTATAGTGCAATGTGTGAGCTTATTTTTTCCCCTCTCACTTGATATCTCTTTCTTTCCAATACACAGGAATACTCTGAGGATAGTAACTCCGAGCCCAATGTGGATTTGGAAAATCAGTACTATAATTCTAAAGCATTAAAGGAAGATGACCCTAAAGCAGCACTGAGCAGCTTCCAAAAGGTTTATATTTTTCCAGTTGATTCTGTGTCTTAAAGTTTATTTAAATGATGCTACATAAATTACTTATCTTGTTGCTGTGACCAGGCACCTGAAAAAAAACAAGTTAAGGATGGTGATATTTATTTTGGCTCACTGTTGGAGGTACAGTCCCTGATGCAGGAACGGCATTGTGGCAGGAGCATGTTGCTAGGACTAGTCCCATCTCAGTGAAGCAGGGAGAGACTCTGGGACCAGAAGTAGAACTAGGCTATAGCTCTCAAGGTTTAAATTCCAGCGACACTTCCTCCTTCTGAGGGTTCTACAGCCTCCCAAGACAGTTCCACTAGTTGGGAACCAAGTTTTCAAGCATAAGACTGTGGTAGACATTTTACACCCAAACTATAACAGGTGCATAAGAGAAATTAAGTCAAAGTGATTGATTTCAGGCATGGGCTTTTAATTTAGTGATACCTTTTAGAAGGATTGCATGATAGAAGGCAAGCATATATTTCAGAAGGGTTTCTTGCTGAGTTTGTTTGTTTGTTTTCTAATCAAACTCTCTGTGGAGCAGGGTCACTGTCCTAAAAGCCATGCTAGCTTTCTGGTCGTGGTCATTGGTATTGGCCATTGTCATGATTAATGGTGTTACTATAATCTTGTTCTGGGAACAGATCACATTGATTTCTTAACTTCAGTATAATTGAGTGATTCTTTTTCATTCTCTCTCTCTAATTTGACATCTTTGTTGAATTTTTGCAATTTTCATACAGTATACTTTGATGGTACTTAGATCCCTTCCCCTATCTGCACTTCCCCCCACTGCCCCTGCCCAATTTAATGTACTCTCTTATTTTTATATAAATATAATGCTGGGATTTTGTCTGGTTTGAGCTTGCATAGAGCTTGTACATGCTGTCACCATTGCACCATTGAGTTCATATGAGTAACAGACCAGCTGTCAGGAAGACTCTGTTTTCTTATGGTCATCCACTCCTGGCTCTTAAATTTTTCTGCCTCTTTTGCAATGATCCCTGAGCCTTGGGAGGTTGAGGTTTGGAATAGATGTCCTATTCAGGGATAAGCATTCTACAGCCTCTTGTTCTCTACATATTGGCCGATTGTGGATGTCTGTTAATCACCGTCTGCTGAATATGGAAACTTCTCTGGTGAGAGTTGAGAGATGCATTCATCCTGTGTATATAGGTTGATTTGAAGATGTGCCACTTAGGGTTAAGCATCTCAAACTCTTATTCTGTATTTGACCAGTTCTGGAACTCTGTGATAGTCTCTGTCTGTTGCAAAAAGAAGCATCTTTGATAGGGGTGAAAGGTACACTTGTCCAGGCTAGTCAGGTGCTCTCCAGCAGCCTCAGTGTGGACAGGGCCAAGGCCCAAGGAGAGCCAATGGGAACAGAATCTAGTTGGGGTTTTTTAACAAAGGTCATTGGGGAAGGGGAGTACTTTCTAGGCCCGTATAATCAAGAAACAATTCCTGCTCTTTTAATGAAAATACTTAAAAGTGAGCTCACTACCCTAAAATATCTCATCTTTTTCTTTAATTCTTTAAAAAATGTCAAGAATGAAATTTGGAGGAAAATATTTTCATGAATAGTTTATAAAATTAATTGAAGACATTGGATTGCATTAGAAAATAGAAGCCAGGTGTGGTAGCCACGCCTTTAATCCCAGCACTAGGAAGGCAGAGGCAGGTGGATCTCCATGAGTTCAAGGCCAGCCTGGTCTGCATAGTGAGTTCCAGCTCAGCTGGGGCTACAGGAAGACCCTGTCTCAAAAAGAAAAAAAGAAGAAGAAGAAAATAGTATTAAGTTATTAAGTTACACTAAAACTTTCTTCCCTCTTTTAGGTTTTGGAACTAGAAGGTGAAAAGGGAGAGTGGGGGTTTAAAGCTCTGAAACAAATGATCAAGATTAACTTCAAGTTGGTAAGACTTGTTTTGAAAGAAATGAAATCTATAATGGGTCAATTCTTTTTGTAAAAACATCATTGTACTAAAATGCCATATATTTGCTTTGCTAAAGCAATAAAATTGACTTGTGTCTACAAAATCAGGACTACAGTAATATTTTAAAACAAATTCTACCTATGTAAAGTTTTCTGTTTTCAAAAACATTCTTTAGGTGTATTGTATATATATGTATACTATGTGAATTTATATATTTGTAGGGTGGCTTTTTGTAAAACTTATTTCAGAATTTAAAAATTCTGGTTATTACAAGATTTCTTTCCCACTGATTAGGGCCAAGTATTTAGTGTTGTGCCAAGCACCTCTATTGCCTCTCACTGCACAAATCAGCTGTTGACAAATCAAGAAGGCCTTATGTATCTTCAGAATGTATCTAGTATCTGAGAGCTGCTTAAAGTTCCTATGTTTACTATTCTGGTCCATGCTAGCATCATCACTCCATTGCACCTAGATCACTGCAGAAGCCTTTTAGCTGTTCTCCTTAATCCACCCGTGCTCTACCAGTCTATTCATGCAGGTATCGTGGTTGCTCTTTTCAAGTGGAAATCAGATTATGCTGTTCCTTTGTTTCAGATCTTCTGATCCTCAGTGCCCCTCAGTAAAATCCACAATCCTCACCATGGCTACAAGTCTCCATAACTTTACTTTTGCTGTCTTTCTGGTCTTGTTTTCATTCACCCTCACTGACCTCCTTGTTCCTCTGCCTCAGATGTTCTCTCAGATAGCCATATGGCTCTTATTTGATTCAAGTCTCTGTTCAAATTCTGTGCAGCAGGATGGCCTTCCCCTGCTATGTTTATTCCTTGTGATTTGCTTACTCTTTGACTTTTCTCTGTGCTCTTTTCCCTCAGTATGTTGTAAGCTCTCTGAGAGCAGAACTTTGCTTTTTTCACTGTTAAGTTTCTAACATCTAGAATAATAGCTGGCATATACTAGGTGATCAGTATTTTGTTGAATGGATCATGGATAAGCTGGAATTGTCATGGAATTATATTTTCATAAAATGGCAATCCTCAGTCCTTAAATTGGCCACACAAAATTGAAGAGTCCAGGGTAGAAGTAGAGGGGAGGGGTTGGGAACTCAACCAATTAAGTGCTTGCCTTGAAAGTATGAGGACCTGAGTTCCATCCCCAGAGCCCATGTTAAAAAGCTGAGTATGGTTGTGCATGCTTGTAATCCCAGCACCAGGGAAGATGAGACAGGAGAATCCCTGGGTTTTGCTGGCTAGCCTGACTAGCCCAATTAGCAAGTTCCATGCCATTGAGAAACCCTGTCTTAGAGGAGGTGGATATTGTTCCTAAGGAACCTCAGATTGTCCTCTGGCTTCCACATATACAGACATGCATGTGTATATACACCCATACATACCTATGCAAAAAGAAATAAGACAACTAGGTATAGACATGAATTTTAAATCCCAAGGGTAGAACTGGTTTTTGTTTTGTTTGTTCATTTTCTCTTTCGGGTTTTATTAAAACAGTCTTACTGTGTAACCCTGACTAACCTGGAACTCACTATGGGACAGTACTCTTGCCTCTGCTTCCTGGGTGCTAGTTGTGGAAATGACAGGTATGTGCCACCATGCTGGCTTGGGTAGAAGAACTGGGAAGGATAAGATGGGAATGCAGGTGATCAGAGGAGAAACTTAGAAAGGTTCAGAATCCTTTTTCTGGCTTCTGTGTTTCCAAATGCCTCTCCCTCTCCCAGTAGCTTCTCTGTCCCATCTGTCCAAAATTGAACTCTCTCCAAATAGCACTTTTATCCAGTTACTCTACTATTGAGGGATGGGGTGAGACAGGGTCTCATGTAACTCAGACTGACCTTGAACTCCCTGTGTAGGCGAGGATGACCTTTTGCCTTAGCCTCCCCAGTGCTGGAATTACAGGCCTGGCTTATCTCCCTGTCCTTGGATTCTGTTTTGGATGTACTCTCACTGCTGCCTTCTCCTACCCTTAAGCATGGTTCCCTGTGTCTCTCCTATAAGAAATATCCATAAAATATTTTAGCTTAGCTCTCCCTCCCCATTTCAGGACTGTTCAGAACATGTTAAACCTTTTGTATATTTCATTTAAACCTAGTTAACAGAGGAAAACCATCTACATTGCATTTGCCCTTTCTAGTTCTTCTGAAAACATGTTGTGTTGCACAAAGCCGCTGTGCTTTCTTTTTATTTTTGTAAGACTACTACACCAATAATTACTGTAACAGCTTAGAGGGGTATGGAAGAAGCAGATGTCCTAAGGGACAGAGATTTTTTAATATAGTAACTTAATGTTTAACTCTTAAGTTTCAATGATTTATAATCATACCATGGTTCCTATAAAACTTGGTTGTCTCCACATAGTAACTTGTTTAATTTTTTTTAGTTCCATTTAAGCAATAGACTACTCTTAAGACTAGATTTTCCATTTTCCCTTGTACAAAGATGAGAAGGGTAAGAAAGAGTTATTTGGTCTCCTTAGTTTACCCTGCTTTCTATTACAGCATCTGTGAGTAAGTTGGAGGTCACAAGAATGATTTCAGCTAGTATCCCTGCCCTTCTCATTCTCTAGTTGGATTCAAAGTAGAACCAATATCAGTATTGCTGTGTAGTGTTAGGTAATGCAGAATTGTATAAAACCAATTTACCTAAATCTTAGCCCCATCTTTAATTACAAGAAGATGACTTAGCAGTTAAAATGCTTACTTGCAAAGCCTGACACCTTGAATTTGATCCATGGGACCCACATGGTGGAAGGAGAGAACTGACTCCTGCAGTTTGTCCCCTGACCTCCATGTGAGCCCCATGACACCTAGACACACAATGAATGAATGAATAAAACTGAGTGTCATGATTACTTTCATATTGCTGTGATAACATACCTACCCTGACAAGAGCAATTGAAGGGAGAAAGGGTTTATTTTGACTCACGGGTCCAAAGGGGTAGGAATCACTCATGGTGGGGAAGGCATGCAGCAGGAGTAGGAGATTGGCTGGTTATGTTATATCTACAGTCAGGAAGCAGAGGATGAACCAAAACTGGGGACAGGCTATAAAACCTCAAGGCCTGCCCCTGGTGACCTGCTTCCTCTAGCAAGTCTCCACCTCCTATAGGTTCCACAACCTTTCTAAACAGTGCCACCAGCTGGGGACCAAGTGTTGAAACACATGGGCATATAGGGGGCATTTCACATTCCAACTCAGTGACCATTAAAGGTATATGGTATAAAATAATGCAAATTACCCTTTTTGTGAAAATTCTATTTCCGTACTGAAATGTAATATCAGAGTGGAAACAATCTTACTTCCTTAAGGATCTCTTCTGTAACTTGGGTTTTGACAAGTTGCTAATAGTGTGTTCCCTGTTACGTATTTTCTTGTCAAACTTCCATACTTAGAAACAAAAATAGTTTGCTGTATGGAGATAGTTGTCATTCCTTTATGCCTCACCCTAATAACTAGAAATAAAGTATGTATACCTGCCAGTGTTCTATTTCCCTGAAAGAAACAGAACTCAGTAAGGAGAGGTTAATAGTTGGAGATGGTTGGGACTAGAACATATGATAAAGTTAGACTTCTAAATTGAATTACACAATACACTTGGGGATAGTAAACCTCCCTTGGATATGCAAATGCCGGACACCTCACTAGTTCTCCTTTGTTTCTTCAGATCTTCCCTGTTTCCTGGAATAACTCAAAATAGTATATAAGTAAATCGATTTTTTTTGTTCAGTGAATATCTTTGTGTTCTGCAGTGAAGAATAATATCTAAAACTTGGAAAATGAACAAGTTTCATTTAATAGTCTGAATTCATAAATCTTGTTTGAGTAATCTCATCTCACGTCTAAGGTAAAATGTAGTGTTCTCATTCATAGTTCCTCCTTTACAAAAGCATATTATGGATTCTGTGAGCTAAGGTAGTTGCTTTGTCAGCAAGGTAGTAGTATGTACTGTGTACATGTTTTAGTACACACTATGTGTCTAATCATGCATTTTTCTTTCCTCACAGACAAACTTTTCAGAAATGATGAATAGATATAAACAGCTATTGACCTATATTCGGAGTGCAGTCACAAGAAACTATTCTGAAAAGTCCATTAATTCTATTCTTGATTATATCTCCACATCTAAACAGGTTAGATTCTATTTTTTCCTCTTGATACTGTCAATGTATTATTTATACCAAAGGCTCTATAGGGCTTGGGACGGGGTAGGGGGATGAGTATTGCTGTTATTGTTGCTTTCTTTTTGAGACACAGTCTAATGTTAACCCAAACTGGCATCTAACTAGCTATGTAGTCAAGGATGGCCTTGGACACCTGATCCTCCTCCCATTACCTCTCAATTACTGATATTACAGGAATGTACCATCATGCCTGCTAAGGCTTTTGTTTGTTTGGTTTTGGTTTTGGGGGTTTTTTTTTTTTTTGGTCTTTTTGAGACAGGGTCTCCTTGTATCTCCAGCTGGCCTAGAACTCACTATGTAGACCAGGCTGACCTTGAACTCAGAGATCCACCTGCCTCTACCTCCCAAGTGCTGAGATTAAAGGCGTGCATCACCACACCCGGCTCTTAGGCTTTGTTCTTTAAAGAAGAAAAGGCATAGAGGTTCTGTCAAAGCAATTATACTAATTACTAGTATGCTTCCAAATTATTTGTTCTGTTTTCTTTATTCTAGTGCTAATTAACATTAAAGATAGTAACTGCCAGTTATTCTTTAAATAATGTCTTTAGAGACTTACTCTATAGTCAACTTTTTCAGACTTGTGTTTAGACTCCCATATGATTGCTATCAGTTCATGTGGTTTTGATGAAATTGTTTTTGCATCTGTGGGGATTGATGTACAGCTTTGAGCATGCCAGGCAAGTATAATCCCACTGAAGCTGTGTGCCTAGGCTGCACAGCCTTGTGATGCACTCTGTCACCTCATCAGCCATTGGAAGCTGTTAAATACTGAACAGTTATGTCACAGGTTGTGTGGGTTTGATTAGATTAAAATCCTTGAGAAGGTCAGTTAGTGCTTAGTATCAATAGGTGCTCTGTAGAGGCACCAGCAAAAGATGTGGGTGATAGTGGACGAAAGCAAGGCTGGTGGGAGGAAAAGTGGGTGTGGGAGCAGTGGTGCTCTCACTTCCAGAGTGTGTCCTCAGAAAGGCAGTGGTGACTGTATATATTTTATTCCTTTGGGGACTGAGATAAATTTTACTTGAATTATTCATTTTATTTTATTTTACTGTTTTTAGTTATTTTATATGCCTATGAGTGTATTGCCTGCATGTAAGTGCACCGTGTACAATGTAATGCCCACACAGGCCAGAAGAGGGCATCGAATTCCCTGAAACTGGAGTTAGAGACAATTGTTGGCCACTATGTAGGTGCTGGGAATCAAACCCGGGTCCTCTGCAAGAGCAGCCAGTGCTCTTAACTGCTGAGCCATCTCTTCAGCCCATATTCTTTTTTGTTAAAGCTTCCTTACTCTGGTATTTGAGTACAAGATGGTCTCTATATTGTTTAGTATTTCTTTTTATATTCCTGACCAGTATTCTCAGACTTAGCCTCTCTCCCTGCCCCTGTTTTTTTCAACCAGATTTTTCTTTCTTGAGGTAGTTTATTTTTCATATTTTTCATGCATATAATGTTAAGAGGAAGGTAAATTTAGACTTTTTTAGAATGTTAACACTTAATGACACTAATCTAGAATAAGCTATGTCATGATTCTTCTGCTATTTATATATATAAAATAAAAAGCTGGATTTGGGGTCAGCATGGTGGTGCACACCTTTAATTCTAGTACTGGGATTAAAGTTGGAGCTCTGTGAGTTCAAGGCCAGTCTGGTCTACAGAGCAGTTTCTAAGGCTAGCCACAGCTACATAGTGAGACCCTGTCTCAAAAGAAATCTGGTTTGGTGGCCAGTGCCTATAATTCTAGTACTTGACAAAATAAAAAGCTGGATTTGGGGTCAGCATGGTGGTGCACACCTTTAATTCTAGTACTGGGATTAAAGTTGGAGCTCTGTGAGTTCAAGGCCAGTCTGGTCTACAGAGCAGTTTCTAAGGCTAGCCACAGCTACATAGTGAGACCCTGTCTCAAAAGAAATCTGGTTTGGTGGCCAGTGCCTATAATTCTAGTACTTGACAAGTGGAAACAGGGATTCATAGTTCAAGGTCATCCTCGGGAAAAAGGTAAGTTTGAGGCCAACCTGGGCTGCATGAGACCCTGTATCAAATAAATGAATGGAAGAATTATTTTCCAGTGACAAGTATCATCAAACATTTTTTGGTACCATGTTTAGAAATGTTATGCCAAATTTAGAAGAATACAATTAGTCATTTTTAAACTTGACAACTGTGTCTTTCTGTGTGCTGTTGTATGGAAGCCTTTTGCCTTTTGAAAGGTAAAATAAATATTGACTGGTAGCGGTCTATACGCCATTAGTAATCACAAGTAAATAGTTAGCCTTGCCTGAAAGTACCAAACTTTGGTGTTCTCCTGGTTCTCTTTCTTTGTACCTGTTAAGTAGAGATTTAGAGATCCAGACATCCAAAGACAGAGCCACAGAGGGAGGAGGGTGAGCAGAGGAGCTTGTGACAGTGTAAAACAGATAGTGGCTATGAACATCCCACTCAGTTTCAAGGTAACCCATGGCTTGAGAGCTGAACAGTCCAATTCATAAGTCACATTTTGAGAGAATAGGACCATTTTTAAACCAGATGTGAGGTGTGGTGGTTCATGCCTATAATCCCATCACCGAGGAAGATGAGATAGGATCACCAAGAGTTCAGGCTAGCCTGGTCCACAGAATGAGACACTGTCTCAAAAAAAATAAAAGAATAAAGCCATTTTGAGAGAAGAAACATTCCTTTTTTCTCTCTAGCAGTTTGCTTAGTGTTTGTAGTATAGACACTGAATAAGGGATGAGTGGATAGAATGAGTACTGTTAGTAAAAGCATAGCATGTCATTCTGTTCATTAAAATGAGTCATTAGCTTGGGGAGGATGGATCTATACTACTACGGCATTAGAATGTGTGGCCATATAGTTTATATAGGAAAATATTTTCTGGGTTTTACAAAACAAATAAAAGCAGATCTTGGCACTTGTAAATTTGGTCTATGTTAATGTTTTGGGCTTTAGAAGACATTTGATATGATAAAAATAGTGTATCTTATATGTTTAAAGTTCAGAGATGCACTTTTAGTTTGTTCAAATTAACTTTATTAACAGGTACAAATTTGCTGTTTACAATTATAGAATTCTGATTTTTTATGTCAGATGGATTTACTGCAGGAATTTTATGAAACAACACTGGAAGCTTTGAAAGATGCTAAGAATGATAGATTGTGGTTTAAGACAAACACAAAGGTAACAATTACATTTGTTCATCCTTTTGGAGAGTGGGTGGGTGTCCTTAGTACTCTCTCCTAAGTATACATTCCTCCTGTTCAGAGCTTTTGATTTTAATAAGTTGCTTTTTTTACAGCTTGGAAAATTATACTTAGAACGAGAAGAATATGGAAAACTTCAAAAAATTTTACGCCAGTTACATCAGTCTTGTCAGGTAGCATTCACTGTTTTCTTAATATCTCTTTATACTAAAAACATGAAATAATTATATTCAGTTTATTGTTTAGGGATGTTTGTGTTCAAACATCCCATCTCAGAAATAAAATTGATTAAGGTTTTAAAGAATCATAAGTTTGGGGCTGGAGAGATAGCTCAGCAGTTAAGAGCACTGACTGCTCTTGCAGAGGACCTGGGTTCGATTCCCAGCACCCACATGGCGGCTATGAACTGTTCTTAACTCCAGTTCCAGGGGAATCCGAAGCCCTCTTCTGACCTCCACAGCATTGCACAACACAGGTGCACTCACATACATGCAGGCAGTACACTCATACACATAAAATAAAAATAAATAAACTATTAAAAAAAAATCATAAGTTCAAGGTCAGCCTGGGCTCTATAATGAGACTCTGTCTTGGGGTTGGAGGTAATAGGTAATAGCCAGAAAGTGCATTCTGACATGGCTCTAAAGCAGTTGTGAAGATTTAAGGACTATAAATATATTTCCTAGCCAGCATAACCAGAATTTTATTTTTCTAATATATTTGTGTGTGTGTGTGTGTGTGTGTGCACTGCAGAGTACATGTGTAAGTCAGTGAGTCAGTGAACAACTTATAGGAGTCAGTTCTCTCCTTCCATTATGTGGATTCGGGGGGTGGGTGTCAGACTCAGTGGCAAGCACTTTCCAACATCAAAACTTAACGCACAGGCCTGGGTAGATGGCTCGGTAAGGAGGCTTGTTGAGTAGGCAGGAGGACCCAAATTCAGATCCCTAGCACCTACTTAAATAGATTGGAATGGCCATGCAGCTGTCTGGGGTAGGGGTAGGCACAGGAGGATTGCTGGGACTCACTGGGCACCAGACTATTTGAAAAACAGCAGGCTTCATCTTCAGTGAGCAAGGGAATAAAGCAGAAAATGATAGGACACTCGACATCTTGCTCTAGCCTCCATGCACAGCCACAGACACCACACACACACACACACACACACACACACACACACACACACACACAC